CCCATGGCGTCATCGATGGCGTCGTTCATCAGCTCCTCCTTCATGTCCATGATCTCCGCCTGCTTCTCGAACTCCATCATGATCTTCTGGATCTGGGGCAGCTTCAGCTGGGGGAGGGGACATGGGGGTGACACAGTACGCAGGGACGGCCCCGTGGCCACCTCGGGCAGTTCAAGGTGGCTCCAGCCTCGGGTTGTCTCCCCACGGTCATCTCAGGTGGTTTGTGGTGGCCCAACTTGAGTGGTTCCTGGTGGCCACGGCCTTGGGCATCACCCCTGAGGCAGCTCATGGTTGCCATGGCGTGGCAGACATCTTCCTGGCCACCCCAAGCAGCTTGTGGTGGCCATGGCCACAGGGATGTCCCCCTGAAGCAGCTGGTGGTGGCCATGGTCTTGGGGACATCTTCATGGGCAGCCCAGGGCAACCTTCGGGGGCCACAGCCCTGCGGGACCACCCTGGGGCAGCTCGTGGAGGCCACAATCTCAGGGACATCCCCATGGCCACCTCAGGGCAGCTCACGGTGGTCACCACCACGGCTACGTCCCCATGGCCACCCCAGGGCAGCTCACGGTAGCCACCACCACAGCTACATCCCCACGGCCACCCCAAGGCAGGTCAACGATGGTCACAGCCTCGGGGACATCCCCATGGAGCATCTCACAGCTGCCCCAGCCACTGGGATGTCCCCACGGGCACCCACCTGTCGGTTCATGGTGGCCATGGCCTTGGTGACGCCCTTCATGGCCTGGGCCATGGAGTTATTGGACTTGAGGGTCTGGATCTTGAGGGACACGGCCTGGACGTTGGCCCTCATGGTGATGAACTTCTTCACATAGCGCCGCGTCCGCACCAGGTCCTTCGCCATAATCTTCACCGCGTCCTGAAGGCCGGAGAGGGGGGACATCAGAGGAGGAAGTCCCCCGAGAGGTCCAGGGGATCTCCAGGGACCCCTCCGTGTCCCTCAGAACCCACCACCGTCCCCACCACCATCTCAACGGTCTTCTGATCCCCTTGTAGCCACTGTGGTCACTTGGGGGCTTCCATGGTCTCCCTCCAGTCCGCTGGTCCCCACCTCAGTCCCTTGGTCGACTCCACGTCCCCATGTCCCCTCTGCTTCTCCTGTCCCCGCTGTGTCCCTTGGTCATCACCTCAGTCCCTTGGAGCCCTCTTCATCCCCTGGTCCCCTCCATGTCCCCACGTCCCCTCCTGTCCCCACCATGGTCCCCTGGTCCTCTCCGTGTCCACATGTCCCCTCTGCATTCTCCTGTCCCCGCTGTGTCCCCTGGTTGTCACCTCAATCCATGGGAGCCTTCTTCATCCCCTGGTCCCCTCCATGACCCCTGGTCCTCTTCGTGTCCCCATGTCCCCGCTGTGTCCCCTGGTTGTCACCTCAATCCCTCGGAGCCTTCTTCATCCTCTGGTCCGTGTCCCCACGTCCCCTCCTGTCCCCACCATGGTCCCCTGATCCCCTCCACGTCCCCATGTCCCCTCTGCATTCTCCTGTCCCCACTTTGTCCCCTGGCTGTCACCTCAGTACCTTAGAGCTTTCTTCATCACCTGGTCCCCTCTGTGTCCCCTGGTCCCCTCTGTGTCCCCTGGTTGTCACCTCAATGCCTTGGAGTCTTCTTCATCCCTTGGTCCCTTCCATGTCCCCTGGTCCTCTCCACATCCCCATGTCCCCTCTGCATTCTCCTGTCCCCACTGTGTCCCCTGGTCATCACCTCAATGCTCTGGAGACCTCACCATCCCCTGGTCCCCTCCATGTCCCTTGGTCCCCTCCATCCCCACCATGATCCCCTGGTCCTCTCCATGTCCCCATGTCCCCTCTGCATTCTCCTGTCCCCACTGTGTCCCCTGGTCATCACCTCAATGCTCTGGAGACCTCACCATCCCCTGGTCCCCTCCATGTCCCTTGGTCCCCTCCATGTCCCCTGGTCCCCTCTGCACCTTCTTGGTCATCTCCATGTCCCCACATCCCCTCCCGTCCCCACCATGGTCTCCTGGTCCCCACCATTGTCCCCTGGAGCCCTCTGCATCCCTTGGTCCCCAGCAAGAGCCCTGGACTGCTCCATGTGTCCCCCTGTGTCCCCACGTCCCCTTCGCGGCCCCTCCCGGCGGTGTCCCCTCACCATCTGGCCTTGCTTGGCCATCTTCTTGATGTCAACGATGATTTTCTTCTCATGCGCCTCGAGCTTCTGGCGCT